CCATCCATCCGTCTTTTTCTGTCAGTTGCTGGTCAGAACAACTTACTCTTTCTCTAAAGCCTTTCTCCCCCCACCTGGCTGCCTGCTGCCCTGGGGTGGACCTCCATGCCAGCTTAACTCAAAGGCATGGCTTTTTTCCTTCTCTCCTCCGTTGTCCTTCTCTGAGCAGCTGCTGAGATTTACAGCTTGCCTGCCCTGGGTGTTTTTCTCTTAAATTCTAATAAAATTGCCCTTGATTTTAAAAACCATGTTTGTTTATGGGCACATTAAGTTGTACAGGCCAAGATGAAGGGTGGGAAAATGCATATAAGGTAATGTCTTGTTGGATTTTTTAAAAATGAAGTCAAACCACACTTGATGGTGCATTCTTATTATCTCTACACTTGGGAGGCTGGGGCAGGAGGATTGTTGTGAGTTTGAGGCCAGCTGGGGTGGTGTGACACCCTATTCTAAAATAATAAAGAAACAAACGAAGCAGAGCCTTTACCTAAAGCCTCAGAGTAGACAGTACAATGAAGTCTTATTTTTTTTTAAATTTCACAGAATACAGATAGTGTTGCCAAGGATTGTGTAAGATGTTGCTTTATTATCTGTTTGAATGTCTTTGATGTGAATATTTGCATAGATAGTTTCTCACTGCAATAAAAAAATTGATTCGCAATCGTGGTTCATGACCTGGAGAGTGCAGAGCAGTAGACTTTATATTTAAAGTAACTGTGTGTGCGTATGTGTGTGTCTGTGTCTGTTGGTGTGTGCATGTATGAGTGCCACGTAGAGACTAGAGGTCCATGATAGGTGTCTTTCTCTTTAGCTCTCCACCTTTTTTTTTTTTTTTTTGCAGGGGTTCTTTTTGAGACATGGTCTCCCTATAGTCCCAGCTGTCCTGGAACTCACTATGTAGACCAGGCTGGACTTGAACTCACAGAGATCTGCCTGCCTCTGCCTTCCAAGTGCTGGGACTACAGGCATGCGCCACCATGCCTGGCTTCCACCTTATTTTTTAAGGCAGGGTCTTTCATTGAACCTGGAGTTCCCCATTTCAGCAGTGCTGGCCAGCCAGTGAGCCCCTGGGATCCTCCCGTCTCTGCTTCCCAGTGCTGGAATTACAGGTGCTTGCTGCTGCACCCCAGTCTTCATGCTTGTGGAGCAAGTACTTACCTACTGAGTTGTCTTCCCAGCCCTGAAATACCTATTTAATACTATAATGTAACTCATAGAATGTATGAACATAGACATACATGTATATGTATACAATGAAAGTCTGTTTATTCAAGCAAAGACATGTGTTGAGTAACAATAGCAGTAAAGCATTAAGAGGTCAGGCTGAGCTGGATGTGATGGCAAACACCTTTAATCCCAGCATTCCGGAGGCAGAGGTAGGTGGGTCTCTGTGAGTTAGCGGCCAGCCTGGTCTACATAGTGAGTTCTAGCTCAGCTGGGGCTATGAGGAGGCCCTCTCTCCAAAAAAGAAAAAAAAAAGATTGGGCTGTTTTCTGTCTTGTTTATATTCTGTATTCTATCCTTTCTCCAAAGGAGTAAATATGGTATTATTGCTAGGTGAAATCCTTTAGTTTATTAAGAGAATATAGCTCCAAGATAGAACTTTTACTATGTAAAAATCCAAATGGTTCACATTCTAATGTTCTGCTAATTATCCCTTGGTTTCCATCTCAATCTAATTGGTAGAACCTGTAAATGTGTGTTGCTGCTATCTTTATGTAATCCCAGAAAGCATAAATAAAATGTTTCTTTTTCTCTTACCCCTACAGGCTGGTATAGAGGATATACTCTCCAGAACAAAGCTAAGAAGGTATGACTTATTTATCATGTACAGTTTTTATTTATTTATCCATTCTTTCGTGTGTGTGTGTGTGTGTGTGTGTGTGTGTGTGTATAAAATGTGCCACTGTGTGCATGTAGAGGTGTCACGAGAACTTTGAGAGTCCATTCTCTCCTTCCATCATATGGGTCCATGGGACTGAATTCAGGGCTTGGTGGCAAGAATCTGTGCCTGCTGAGCCATGTCTCTAGCCCTAACTAGTTTTTGTCATATATTTGAAGTCTGTCTACTGGTTTTATGTGATGCTGTTTGACTTCTTTATCTACTGTCTCTAGAGCTAGTTTGCTTTCTTCTCGATGGTCCTTCCTTTGATCTGAAAACAAATACTCTTGACCTTGGTGCTCAACGGGAATGATGTATGTCCCATGGACTGTTTCCCTCCAACTGATTTAAGAGGAGGTTTCTGACTTCCTGTTCCCTGGCCCTGAGCTTGAACAAGGAGGCCGTACAGTACCAGTGCTCTAAGGGGCCTCTCTCAGGAAGGGCAGGGGCAGAATGCACTTTCCCCTTTTAATGCTAAAATCCTAGAACTGAAGTGTTCTGTCACTCAATTTTTCCCTCATTGTCAAATGGGCAAAGAGTGGTTTTCATACTGTAGGGCCCCACAAACCCAGTAATACATCATCAAGTCATTTCTTGTAGATTATACCCAAGATTTTACAGAAAACAAAATGGAACCTCACGACAAGTTTGCCTTAGATATTAATGTTTATGTAGTTTGTGTTTTTTATTGTGTTTTACTGAACTGCCATAAAAATATATTTCTTAGAATTCATCATGGGCAAAGTTTGGGAAACACTGACCTGGCTGGATGGTTCTCTCCTAGTTAGTGTCAGAGCAGCTAGCCATCAAGCTAAAGGCAGTCTGTTTGTTCTGCTAACACCCTCCTTGTTTGTTTTAGACCCCATCAGCACTGTTCCTTTGATGTTGCTTGCTGGGGTAGTGCAACCTGTCAGCACTTTCTTTTGAAAGAGCACAGTCTATTTCACAGCTAGCCTGTGTAGCAAGAGAGAGAAGCACACTTTTGGATTTATGAGGGGAAAGAGGGAAGAACAACTCACAGTTCCTGCTCTTCGAACCACGTCATGGGTCAGATGTGATCCGGTGCAGGTAGGCTAGTATTAAACACTCAAATTGCAAAAGATTACAGGGCCTCAGATCACCTTCCTACAAGGTAGAGGCTGTGAAAGCCCAAGAGTGAGGATGGCTGAAGTTGATTCCTCAATCACACAGTATTTGCATAACTGTGTATACACATTTTATTCATTTTGACAATTTAATAATATAACAAAACAAAGGAGTATTTGCTGTCCCTGCCGGTACGAGCTTCTCCAGTGAGGTCCTTTGCCCCTGTGAGGCCCTAGAGTTGTCTGTTGTGTGTCATTTCCAGATGAACGGTTTCCACGTTGTCTCTTGCTGACTTCATCTCTGATCTTGTCGTAGAAACCAGTATGGAGGGCAGATGCATTGGAGTGACGAGAGTGTGGAGGGGCTAGAGGGAGCTGGCGCTGGCATCCCATGCCCTCTGGATGTGGGTTTAGCCCTGTTAGTCCCTATTTTTACTCACAATTATGGAAGTGGAAGTTATTTCAGAGCACAGTAAGAGTTAGCAACTTGGGGCTTGCAAGATGGCTCAGCAGGTGAAAGCACTTGCCACGCAAACCTAATGACCTGAGTTTGATCCCTGGATCTCACAGTAGAAGGAGAGAACCACCTTCTGAATTTGTTCTCTGACCTCTACTCAAGCCATGGCACATATGCCCTGACCCCCTGACCCCCATTACATGCACGTGCACACACACACACATACACACACACACACAACTTTGTGGTTTTGAATTTGTTAGTGACAAAGAATATTCAGGCCACTTAATTTCCAATCCTTTTCTATATTTTAAAAAGTGAACACAAAACTTTCTCAAAGTTTTATGAAATATAAAAATCAGTTGAGCATGGTGGTATACACCTGTTGTCCCAGATACAGGAGGCTGAGGCAGGAGTATCATAAGGTCAAGGCCTGGTTGGGCTACAAAGTGAGTTCAAGCCCAGCCTGAGTAACTTTTTGGGCCCCTGTCTCCAAATGTATAGAGTTAGTGCTGTATCTCAATGGCTGATACTCACCTAGCATGCATAAGGCCCTGCGTTTGAGCCCACTATAACAGTGACGGAAAAGCAGATTGGTACTATTGAAACAAGTTCCCAGACCACCTCGCTATGTAAGGATTTGTTCCATTGTGGAAGATCTTGGTTTCTAAGGCAATCCCAAGCTTTCCTAACATGTCCAAATCCATCTAGCTAGTGGTGCCCTGTTGTCTGCCTGAAATACTAGGTAGACCAGTCAGCATCTGAGCTCAGCATTTGTTTGTAATATTGCTATATATTAAAGTGTTCTTTAAAACCTTGAAGCTTAAAACTTCACCTTTTGGGAAAAAATATTTCAGTAAGAGCTCCTTGCTCCCTTGTTAATGAAAAACTCAAATACACACCCATATGACAACAGACAAGGCCTGTGCATCGATGTGATGTTTTTAAAACTAAATTATCTTTCTGTGCAGAGATCCAAGAAAAATAGATGGAATTAAAGGCATTGGTCTTGAACGTTGTTCAGTTTTGACACCCCTTTATTAAGAGGGTCAGCCTACTGGCAATGCCCTCCTATGCCATCCCGCCTCTTGCTGTCTTAGGGGAAGAGCTATTTGAAAGGCCTATTGTTTCCATGGAAATTATTGGTGTCATTTAGAAGCCAACCTAGCCATTTAGAGTCATGATGAAAGGAGCTAGTGGCTTTACAAATCGACGATAGCTAAAGCTTTGAAGAAACTGACTGAAGATTGATCGTGACAGGATCGTGGACAGGATAACATCGAAAATCATTAGCTTATTTTTTTCCTCAAGTGAATAGATTGAGAACAGAAAGGCAGAACTGAAAGAGAAGGTGCATCAGAGATACAGCGTGCAGATTTTCTCTGGCCTCTGTGTGCCATAGTGGCATGGGGAAGGCTCTACGTGTCACATTTACAAGAGTGACTAAGTGACCATATAGCCAAGTACTGTCATAGCATTACGATGCTGCAGATAAGGCCACGAACGACAGGCTGGTGAGGAGTGTTTTCTCCACGTCAACATCCTTGTGTCTGCACAGCTGTATAGACTATTTGTTTACAGTCAACACCAATGTCTCAAAGTCATCATTTGTTTGTATTTCTGAGTCCCTCTATCTTGGCTGATTCCCAAGGACTAAGAGGAACTAGTCACCAGATTATAATTGCAGAATGTTAAGTAGAACTTTACCTTCTCGATTTGAAAAATGTCCCACAAGGATTTTTCTTTGGATTAGCAGAGTTACATCTGGTTTTTGATTTGTTTTGTTGTTTATTTCATTAGTTCCTGGGATTAAACCTCCCACATACTAAACACATGTTCTACCATGGAGTCACATACCTAGCCTCAGCAATGTTGTGTCTTATTTTAAATTGGTGACTACTACTTAATTATATATTTTTAAATTTTCATTACACTTATTTATTATTTATTTTTGTGTGTGTATGCATGCGATCATTCAGATTCCATGGCATGAATGTGGAGGTCAGAGGACAACTTGCAAGAGTTAGTTCTCTCCATCTACCATGTGGGTCCTCGGGGATCGAGCTTGGGTTGTCAGGCTTGGTGGCAAACACCATATATGCACTGAAATATCCCTGTAACCCATCCGTGAATATGGACAACTATTATGTGTCAGTGAATTTGTTAAAAACATGTAAAAATATGCTGCTTCCAAATAGTTTGAATGGGGAGAAAACGTCCAGATATGGTTAATTAACTACATAAAAGTTAATTAACTATATTATGGGCCTAGAGAGATGGCACAGCAGTTAAGAGCACTGACTGTTCTTGCAGAGGACCTGGGTTCGATTCCCAGCACCCACATGTTGGCTACGAACCATCCTTAACTCCAGTTCCAGGGGAAGCCAAAGCCCTCTTCTGACCTCCGAGGCATTGCACGACACGGTTGCGCTCACATACATGCAGGCAATACACTCATACACATAAAATAAAAATAATAAAATATTGAAAAAGAAAAGAAAGCAAACTGTCAAAAGTTATTTTGGGGCTGGAGGGATGGCTCAGAGGTTAAGAACACTGACTGTTCTTGCAGAAGACCCAGGTTTGAATCCCAGCACCCACATGGCAGCTAACAACTGTCTGTAACTCTGGTTCCAGGGGGATCTGACAGCCTCTTCTGTCCTCTGCGGGCATTGCACGACACGGGTGCACATACCTACATGCAGGCATAACACTCACACACACAAGATAAAAATAATAAGTAAAATATATTACACATAAAAGTAAAGTGGGAGCTGAGAGTAGTGTAGACCAATGAAGGAACTCGAGAGGGAGGAGATTCTGAGACTAAATCAAGAATTGAGCCAATGTTCAAAACAATAAGAAGGGAGGGGGAAAAAAAGTGTTATGCATAAAAATTCTCTAGCGAAGGCTAGACACCCAGCCTTAAAGATGGCACACACCTTTAATCCCAGTGCTTGGGAGGCAGAGGCAGGTGGATCTCTGTGACCCAGACTGGTCTACATAGTAAGTTCCAGGCCAGTGGGGGCTACAGAGAGACGCTGTCTCAAAACAAAACAATTCTTTAGCTGAGCAAGTACTGAACTGGGCAAGGTGACGGCAGATATGGTTCACAGACTGACACTATAGTAAAAGATCATTATGAGAACAAATACACAGTGAGTATATGAGGACCCTTTATAATCCTGTCTGGCAGTAGTTGATTAATAATAATTGCTGCCTTCCTCACATCACCATAGCTCCTCTTTCAAATATCAACAGCGGTCCAAAGTCTTCCATGTTACACTGAAATTTTATTGGCTTTTATTACTGTTTAATCAGCTTTTCCAAATCACTCTGTATCCTGTGTACCCGTGATGAAGGAACTTAAGGTCGCCCTGTCTCTGTGTGTTCTCAGTTTTATCAGTAAAGGGATTTGAATAGCACATTCTCACTAATGCATCACCTATCACCGCTGCCTCCAACCAAAAGAGAAGGCATGTGGTTTCTCTATGGTTCCCTGTGCCTGTTGAAGAGATGGCCGTTTTGCTTCTGCCTGAAGCAGTTGAAAGACTCCCCCCCACACAAATGTCATCACTCATGCTGAGATCAGTCTAATCCCCAATGTTCTGGATGTTTCCTGTTTTATTGGCAAAGGATGAAAAGAGAAAGACAGCAGTGCACAGACAAATACCGTGCACCGAATGCCACAAGAGCAGCCCCTGTTGATGTTCCCTGGGTTCCTGTCCAGTTAAGGATCACAGGGTGCACACACATCTTCAACCATGGTCTCTGGACCGCTGGGTATCCTCTCATCTTTGTCATCAATCATCCCTAACATGTAATATCCATAGAGTCCATGCCAGCTCTTCTATGAGCAGGGCTGGGGTAACTGAGCCAAGGTGGCAACTGCTCACCCACTGTGCCATGGAAGCTGTGGTAAATCGAGGGTCAGTGCTGCCTTCTCCAGCACTTCTGTGTCTCTCCGCCAATGAGAGTCTTGTGCAAACAAACAGGGAGCTTTTGGCATTTACAAGAGCTCGTGGATGGTTTCGTGCTCCACTGCCACTGTCTAGATTTACCCAGCAGCTTCATGATTTTCATTTGGGTCTTCTTTTCCCTAGAGGGCAATGTCATAATAGTCTTTGGGTTATTGAAGGGAAACCAATTTGAGACTGTGAAATGATGAAAATCACCAGGTCACTGATACTGATTTGCATTTGATCTTCAGAGAAAGTGCCGATAGGAATTACTTAGAAAACCACTACCATTTTATGGACTCCATCTCACTCATGAGAGGCCCTTTGATGGAAGTATCCTGTCCTGTTGGATCTGGAAGGATTCTAGGAGCTCAATACTAAACCCCTTGCCACTGTTGGAACTCTGAGCCATTGGGACATTCTGGCCTTTCTTTTCAAAGCATCCTGTGTACCCTGAGCCCCAAGTTTAATTTCTACCATTTCAGTGTTTCCATCTTGTCTTTGTTGAGAGGTAGCCAGTCAACGCAACTCACGTTCTGCAAACTCAGTTGGAGAATTTCCTTTACCCAAGGTGCTCACAGTCATTCTTGCGTCTTCACGCTCTTCACTTTGGGATGTATTCTTATGGCTGTATAATAGAAGTTCTTCTCTCTGTGTAGGGTATTTTCCCTGAAACCTACATCCACTTGAAAGAGGCAACTGTAGAAGACCGAGGGTAAGTTCCAGTCCGGACTCCTGAACAGTGCTGAACACGTAAGAGTGTCATGAAAGAACACCCTGCAGCCACTGATGTTGACCTCATCTCTGTGGTTCCGCTTGCCTGCTGAGAAAACCCTCCCCTCACGTAATTCCTCCCTCTGCCTCCTCTTTTTGTTCTTGTTCCTCCCAGAAAGAGTAAAGACACCTCCCTGATGGAGTTACTGACTGCTTACTCTGTGTGTGTGTGTATGTGTGTGTGTCTGTGTGTGTGTGTGTCTGTGTGTGTCTGTGTGTGTGTGATGTGCTCGTAGGTCCACATGAATAATGGGGGAGGAGTGACATCAGCCTACACTATTCGGCTCTGAACCTTGAATCCAACATTTAGCTGTAAGGACACCTTGGGTTTTCCACAGCATTTTGGAGGAAAAGACTTGACATGAGCTTGATGTACGTACGTTCTAGTGAAGTGATGCGTGGGAATGTGCTGTGGAGAGAGAAGATCTGTTTATGTTCAGGTGCTCATTTCTTCTTTCTATCATCTGTCTTGGACAGTACTGACTTTGTGACAACGAAGGAAGGCAAGACACTCAAAGTAGGAGGGAGAAGCAGCTGAATTCCTGAGGTGAAAGAGCTAAGAAATCAGACTGGAATCCATGTTGATGTCCATGGGGACAGGGAAGCTGGTCCCAGAGTCTTGGAGCCTCTAACCTAGAAAGAATATTTATTGAGAGATCCTAAGCTTAGCAGCCTCGTTTTAAGACAAAAGGCAGCGACGTGCTCAAGTTCTCAACATCCTTCCATGGTAGAGCCAGCACCAAGAGCGAGGGCTCCTCCTCCTCTTTCTGGTGGGCCATTCCTGGGCTGCCTCCAAGTGTCACACTGGTGGGAAGGCAGAGTGGGAGTCCTAGTCTAACTAGAGCTGCAGATGAAAGGCAGGACGCCCAGACAGCAAACACAGATGCTCCTCGACTTATGATGTGGTTACATCCTGATAAACCCACTAGAGTTAAAAATATCATAAGTCAGGGCTGGCACGATGGCTCAGTACTGGCTGCTCTTGCAGATGACTGGAGTTCAGTTCCCAGAAATCACATGGTGGCTCACAGCTGCCTGTAATGTTCCAAGGGATCTGACTCCCTCTTCTGGCCTCATGGGTACAAGGCACGTACATGGTGCACGTATATACATGTGGGCAGACATTTATATATGTAAAATTTTAAAAATCAGCCAGATGGTGCACGCCTTTATTTAATCTCAGCACTCGGGAGGCAGAGGTAGGCAGATCTCTGTGAATTCAAGGCCAGCCTGGTCTAAATAGTGAAGTTTCAGGCCAGCTGGGGCTACAGGGAGACCCTGTCTCAAAAAAACCAAAAAAAATTTTTTTTAAATATTGGAAAAAATCATAAGTCAATGTCACAGTGAAGCCCATCGTTTTTTATAATTAATATGCACTAAAAAATTAGCAGCAAGAAGTATATTTACTCCATCTAACCTATGAAACATCATAGTTCAGTCCTACCTATTTCTAGTTCCCTCAAAACCTTATACTAGCAGTTGGACAGAATCGTCTATCACGAAGCCTTCTTTATGATAATGTGTGCATACCTCATGTGATTTCTTGGGCACAGTGTTAAAAGTGAAAAGCGGGTAGTTCTAAGTGGACACTTTGCAGCCATTGTAAACTTGCAAAACCAGACTCTCATAAGCCACGGGTCATCTGTAACTTTTCGTAGTTGGTATGCGGCACGTGCTTCATGACGAGTCCTGTTACTGTAATGTACTCCCTTACTCCACCTGAAATTCACACTCACACCTTCCTCTGCACCTGGTTTGTGGTTCTGCCGGTTACAGTGTGCAAATTGAGAGTAAATGCCGTGCCAGTCTACTGAGTGTGAATGTTGCTGTCTCCTCATTTTCCATCCTGGGAAGCAACAGACGAGAAGAAAGCTCAATCCCTTCTAGAAGATGGCGTGGGTCAGTCCCTGCCAGCAGGCCATGGGTGAGATCACATAACATGCACCTCTCTACCAAATGAAGCAAGTGCCTGAGGGAACCAGCCAAACCAACCTGGCTGGCCGTTGGGGCTCCCAGAGACAGACAACATGGGGAAGTAGAGACTGGGCACAGGAAATGCCATCGGAAAGCTTAGTTTGTAGACTATGCTGTTCTGAACACCTGATATTTTCTCTCATGTTTATAATGTGTTCAAGTTCTCTGAACTCTGTTACCCCTACCACAGCGGCCCCATTCTTTGATCATCAAGGAGTGTGATGGTCATGAAAGGCAGCTCCTAACATGCACATAAAATGTGCATCCTTTTGGTCCTCTGTAGGCAGCACGAGACGGTGATTCCTGGGGAGCTGCCCCTGGTGCAGGAGCTCACGAACACTCTGCGAGAATGGGCCGTCATCTGGCGCAAGCTCTATGTGGTAAGCTTCCGTGGTGGTCACCCACCGTAGGTGTCATTTCTGGACCTTTAGTCTGACTGTTGGGCTTCAGAACCATCATCTGCATGAAGGAGCATCAGTCTCCCCTGGAGCCCACCAAGCCAACAATGCTGGAAACCAGCGATTCCCATTTCCCCAGAGTTGGGCCATTGGTGTGGGCTCATAGAAGGAAGTAAGTGTGGCCATTAATGCAGTCTGTTCTCAAGCCACCGATTGTGATAGTAGTGAGAGTTATAACTGAAAACACTTGCCAAGGCCTTTCTGGTCTATCCTCGTAGCATTCCTGTAGTGTAGACGCAATCACAACTATTAATATTCCAATAGGAGCCTGAGAAACTTGGTGTTAGCGTCACCAGTCATGCCAGTGAGTTTATAAATATTGCAGTGCTCAGCCATTTGGTGGGGGGGGCGGTTCTTAGCCATGACTAGTGGACCTTACAGACTTAGAATGTTAAGCCATGTTAAGTTGTGGTCAGTCTGACTGCCAGGATGCCATCTCACAGCACTGGCTTGACCTCAAAGTGCTAATACGAAATGCTAGTTTGATGGGAAATTGCATAGAAACCGGGGCACATCCTCTCGGTGATGAACCATAATCACAAGTTATGTGTAAGCTTACAGTTTGGGAGTTCTGTGGTTTAAATGTAATTTTTCCCTTTGAAACTCATGTTAGAGTTTAATCCCATTGTGACATACTAAGGGTGGAAACAATCCAACTGTGGTATTTAGAGAAGACTTGGGAACTGATTAGGATGTCATGAAGCATCAGATTGGAGGCCCATGATTGAGAGGCAGTGATTTCATTAGAAGACGGAGAGAGACCAGAAGACAGGCATGTATACTCTGTGACTCTCACCTCGTGATGCTCTATACCAAGAAGGCCTTTGGCAGATGTAGCTCTACAACCTTGCTCCAGAACTGGGAGCCAAGAGACCCCACAAGACTGTGTTGTTCACGGACAGAAATGAATTAGGACAAGGATCTGGAAAACCCAGGATTTAGTATTACCAAACTACAAACAGCGATTTTGCAAGTGGACAAGGATGCTCAGATTTCATTGTGAGCATGCAAGCCTCTCCTCTGGTCTCAGAAGCTGCTCCCTCAACACTGGAATAGGTGGTTTGCAAACTTTTGTGAGTGACCAGGAAGTCATATGGAAGCAAAATATATTCTCTGACTATACATGTGAACAAGGTTGGTGAGGTTGTAGGTTAGACACGGGAACCCGGGGCCATCACTTTCTTATGTGGCTTTCGTTTGATGCTTGTCACCTCAACTCTGAAAAGCCAGTCTTCCCAAGTTAAGGGGAATACCTGGTTCTAGTTCCTGCATTCTAAAAAGAGTAATTAAAAGCTCATTCTAGCATCAGCCCTAAGAGTCCACGTAAGTTATTTTATTCCGTTCAGGACTGTTGTAGCCCATGATGCATCAGAGCATTAGAAATCACCAACCCTGTGGTGGAAATGTACATGATATCTCTGCCTTCCTATCCTTCAAGACTCATTTATGTTCTTCTTCATAATGTGTCTTCTAAACCCACCAATCCTTAATGTTTTCTTCTGGACCATCAGAGCACTTACTGCCGAACCCACAGTCTGACCCTTGGGATGTTATGCCTGTATTAAAGGTGATCTTTTGATCTCTTTAGGCTTAGTTGATGGGAGAGCTGACTCTTAAGTTCCTAAATCATCCACCCTGAGAGGGGAAGGATACAACTGTGAGCACTGTGGCCAACACTGATCAGCTCGTACTTACATTGAAAGCACTTTCTAGTTCTGGTTAATTGATTTGTTAGTGGTCTAGCAGGTCTGATGGGTAAGAAATTGCATGGACATGAGTTTGTGCCTTAACATACTCTTTCTAGATTGATCGTTGAGTGTGAAATTTAAGTGTAGGCTAAGCATCCCACATCACCCCTTTTCTGTTACTGTATCAAAATACCTGAAGCTGGGTGTTCTGGTTTGCTTTCTGTTGATGAAACACTGGCCAAAAACAATTGGGGGAGGAAAGGATTTGTTTCATCTTACACTTCCAAGGCACAGTCCATTTTTAAGGGAAGTTAGGCAGGACCTCAAGGCAGGAACCTGGAAGCTGGAGCTGAAGCAGAGGCCCTGGAGAAACACAGCTTACTGTTTGCTCCCTTGGCTTGCTCAGTCTGCTTTTTCATACTATCCAGGCCCACTTGCCCGGGGGTGGCATTGTCCACCGTGGGCTGGGCCCTCCTACATCAATTAGCAGTCAGGAAATTGACCTCAAAGACATGCCCACAGACCAATCCAGTGGAAACAATTCCTTAGTTGAGGTTCCCTCTTCCTAGGTGATTCTAGTTTGCATCAACTTGACAAAAACTAACCAGCACACTGGGTAACTTAGAAAGAAAAGAGCTTTCTTTATTCATAGTTCTGCAGGCTCAAGGGCCTGCCGACAGGAATCAGCTCAACTCTGGTGGGTGGTGTCAGAATGGCAGGAGCTCAAGTGAAAGGGGAAGTGCTCGTGGCATGACAGGAAAGCAAAGCATGGAGGGGGACCTCACTGTTTATATGACAACCCTCAAGATAACTGACCAGGGTCCTAGCAGATGTACATTAGTCCCTTCAAGGGTAGTGCTCTCAGTGTCCTCCTGCTAAGCCCCCCCTTATAAGGATTCCTCCATCTCCGTACCTCACCACATGGGAGGAGCCAAGCCCCTACACATGATGCAAATCATATCACAGCCAAACTGGAGTTATCCCTAGTCTAAAAGTTCTATAATCCACAATGTTCCTTAATCCAAAACATTTTGAACACATATAGGATGCCACAAGTAGAGACCTCTACCAGCCCTCATGCGTGAAGCTTTGTTTCTGCAGAAAATGTATTTAAAATATTGTGCAAAATTGTCTTGAGGCTGTGAGTAGAAGGCAGCGATGAAGCATAAACAAATTTCATATTTTCACTTAAGCGTCATCCCTAAGAAACTTCAATAAATCTATGCAGATACCTAAACCTATCCCTGCCCCCTTAGTGGAAAACCTAGGGCCAAGCATTTCAAATAAGGAGTACACATCCTGTGCTGGGAAGGAGGTCTTGTTCTTGCTGTTATTTATGTCACATGAAGCACCCAGAGTGATGGCTGAGAAGACCTTTTCTCCCTCCCAAATACAACTTTGTTGCTCATTTTTTTCCCATGTCATCTCCTTATCCACAAGTTATCATAACAGTCTTCCAGGGAAAAAAACTAAGAAGCAGGGTTAGAGTGTGGCTCAGTGGTAGAGTGCTTACCTGGTGTACACAAGGTCCTGGGTTCTGTCCCTACCACCTCCCCCAAAGGGGGATGGTGAATAAGAACGAGGAAATAGGACCTGTGTGCTTGTGCTGTCAAAACCCCTTCTAGTCACATGGGAAACTCATAAGCACTTTTTGAGGATTTCTGAGTCTTCCTGTTTAATAGCAGAATTGAATTTTAAAGGGAAAGCCTAATTAAGTAGTTAGTTAAACCTTTTCAGAGCGGGCTGAAGAGATGGCTCAGTGGTTAGGAACACTGACTGTTCTTGCAGAAGACCCAGGTTCGAATCCCAGCACCCACATGGCAGCTAACAACTGTCTGTAACTCCAGTTCCAGGGGATCCGATGGCCTCTTCTGTCCTTCACGGCCTCTGCACGACACGGGCGCACTTACCTACATGCAGGCAATACCCTACACATAAAATAAAAATAATTAATAAAATATTTTTAAAAATCTTTTCAGAGGACAATACATTTCTCATCTTAATTTACAAATCTAACAAAATCATTGTTTTGTTATTTGTGAATATTTTATTGTGTTTATTTATAGCTGCCACCATGTGCTTATGGTAGTCAGAAGACAACTTTTGGATATCCGCTCTCTCCTTCCATCATGTGGGTCCTGGGGATTGAGTTTAGGTTGTCAGGCAACTTTACCCACTGAGATGTCTCAATGACTCATTACTCATGAATATTTTTTAAATGCCTTCACAGCTGCTGTATATAGGCTATGAAGACATTCAGGGAGGTCGGAGGTGCTTAACATCAGCAGGGCTCAGTGGTCTGGTTCTGCTTGCAAAAGGTGCTTAACCTTAAGGAGTAATCCGCTTAAGATGAGTTTGTTATTAGTCATACCACTCTTCTTTCCCCCCGCCCAGCCCCTTTCCTAGTTCATTGACTGTTCACTTCAGACAGAATTTCTGATTTGTTTATCATGGTAAAGCAGCAAACCTCCAATACTGTCTTTCACTGGGAAAGAGTAAAAGGAAGACAGACTTCTGGCTTCCAGGTCTCACCACCCCCATGTTGCTTTTTAGCATTTTGTTTTCTGATCCTCTGTGTGTGTTCCTTTATTTCGTGTAAAAATCAGTGCAGGCTCTAGCAGTACGCATCAATACTGGAGTTATGTCCCCCTCTATTTCCTCCCATAGACTTTGTTATTGTTTTGAGACAGTCTCACTATATAACCCTAGCTGGCTTGGAACTCACTATGTAGACCAGGCTGGAATCAAACTCTCAGAGATCCACCTACCTCTTCATTGGAAATTTACATTGTGGATCATCTAGAGTCTTCTGGAAGGGGAAAATCCAACCCATTAAGCTGGTTAAACCCAGCCTTGAAGACACTGGATTATTCCATAAAGTAAAGATGTTTGTCTTACTGTTTTTAGCAGTCGTACAGGGGGACAAATAATCAGAAATATGTCATAAAGGGGAAGGGACTGTCCACACCTCAGAGGGGGAAACCCCCTCGCCCAAAGTAGAAAGAATGACTAGCTCTCCACAGTCCCTTCCTCATGGTCCCTCTCCTCTTTGTGATGGTAAAGTACTCTTTTCATTTGGCCTTCCACTCTGTGGAGGAAGCAGGCTACAGGAGCCAAGGACTGGCTCAGAAATTAGGAAGCTGGAGTTCTGCAGGCCCTGTCCTAATGTCTTAACTAGCTCTGTGGTCTTAAGCAAGTCATTTGGAGTTTCCACCACTTATGCTGCAGTTTGGC